CTTGGTTTGCTCCAGGCTTAGGTTTACGGGGAACCCCCGGCCGTGCTGGTGCTGCACGGGGGGACTGAGTGCGTGTCAACCTTGCACAGCTCAGGATTTACCTACTGACCAGGAGCTGCTGTTTAGCTCCATGGCTCTGAGGTGTGCTGACAGGAGGGCTTGAGCCTTTGGGGTCTGAGCGTGTACACGTGGGGCACGCTCAGGGTGGCCAGAGATCTCAGTTTCACCTTGGTGAAGAGCATCGTCTTGGGGGACAGGAGGAGCACATGCGTGGCTCTCTCCAGGCATGTGAAGAGCCTTTCCACGGGCAGGTCCAGCCAGCAGCAGCCTCTTCTCTAGAAACGAGATTGCTTGAAGGAAGGCGAGTTCCTGATGCCAATGCATTTCATGCCAGCTGGCTGGCGGGGACGCTGGCAGAGGGGACACGAGCTGAGCGCTGCAGGACATGAAGCTTTTGAGTTGATGCAGGTCCTGCAGAGCATGGGCTCTCTTTTGGGGTGTGTGTGCAGAGCATCGGCACGATCGGCACCCGACACAGAAACAGCCTCTGTGGGCCCCAGCCATCAGACAGGAGCCATCTCCCGTTCCCAGTAAGGTTAAACTGGGAGGAAGGGATAGCGTGTGCTGGCAGATGCAAGGCTGTGTTTTGGGGAGCAGGCTCTTGTCCAAAGCAGGCACGAGGCGCTCCTGAATCCCAGCATTAGGAGCTTAATCTGGTCTCACAGCAGCTTAAATTAGAAGTAACGCTATTAAAGTGTTCTGATACCAGTGACCTAAAAGTGATGCGAGAAGCAGACAGGCCCCTGGAGTGTTTTGCACTTTTATTGTAACAGCTTCTCCTCTGTGCAAAGCATGAGTGGAGAATCAGCAATATAAATACTGTAAACAGGCTCTTTGCTAATGGTGAGGAATGTGTGTAGGTAATTCATTCTGGATATTATTTGTCTGTTTACAGAGCCAGCCAAACAATGCCAACGTTTACCTCTTAGGGAAGGACTGAGTCCTAAATTAGTGTGAACTGGAGAAATTCTGGCAAACAAAGACCTGTGGTCATTTGAGCCTCCAAAGGCTTTAGCCTGACATATATTTGTCAAGCTCTAGAAAAAGTGTGGAAGAAATCCTGGAAGATTTCTGTGCAGACAGATACAAGTTCCGCCCCCCCCCCCGCTACACTCAGATGCCACCACAGCGTTTTGCTCCCAGGCTATGTAGAACTGGCTTCCAATTATACTGGACCCTCTATTTAAGTTTTCCTTTAGAAATGTCTGCTGTATTATCAGATGCAAATGCCACCCCATGAGCTCCCCAGAGGCCCTTATAATTTAAAGAACGGAGGCTCTAATTTCTCATCTGTTATGATACAAAAAATTCTTTATACGTACAGCGTTCAAAGGAGACGGGCTTGTATTTGTCTCGAGCTGTTCAATCATCTCAGTTTTAAGCCATGAGTGTTGGCTGTCTTTAAAAAAAAAAGTTCACCAGCTGCTGAAAAATCCTTGCATGGGGTTGCCATGCTCTTGGATGCAAGAAGAGAAATGCAAAGGCTTGGGGGAGCGATACACCCGTGCCTTTCCCTGCAGAGCATTTCTCTGGCGTACCCAGGTTCAGGTAGCTCTTGGGCGTCTGCTGGGCTCTCTTAACCCCCGTGCACAGAGACACGGTGTGTGGCTGATGACTTAAGGCTCAGGGCAACGACTATATGGTAGCCAACGTAGCCTCTCACATCTCCTGTTGGGCAGGTGATACCGTAACACGGCTGTGCCACATCCTGGTAGAAACCAGGGCGTTCTCACACGCCAAAACAGTTTTTTGGGTAACGGTGTGAGCTGAGGAGGGCAGATCCTCCAGCAGCCGCGGGCCAGGACGGTGCATCCCCCGCCTCCTCGCAGAGCGCGGGCGGCAGTTAGCTTTCTTCGTCAAGTATAGGTGACGGCTGGCGGTGGTTGTCAATAAACGAGAGCAGCGTCTTATTGAAGAGCTGGTATTTTGCATGTAACACAATCTACTTTAATTACCTTGTAATTAAAGGGGATTTTACAGCAGATTATGCTTTTAGAGCATTATTATTATTATTATTATTATTATTATTATTATTATTGTTATTATTTGTTCATCTTCGCCATGCCTTTCTGCATCATTACGCTGCGGCCTAGCTGTGTCCAACCTACGCTTTATGCTGGGGAAAAAGTAGCCGGAATATGTTTCCCTCATAGTTATTCTTAACTGTATCAAGACAGTTGTAGAAACTGAGAGAAAAAGCTTTTTTCTTCTCCAAATTGAAGTGAATTTTTTTTCAAAGATACAACTGTCTTTATACCGAAGAGAAAAACACTTCAAGGAAATGTTTGTGATACAATTTTCATACATTTATTTGTCTTCCCATCTTGTAGGAAGAAAACAGTCCTCTTTTCCTCTCCTTTATTGCTGTGTTATGTCGTTTGTCCTGGAAGGCAGCTGTGCTCAGAGTGCTTTTGTATCCCTGCTGTGGCCTGTCCGCATTGCTCTTGTGTTTCGGGAAGTTATTTTGTTTTCTGTCCCCCGTCCCCCCGCACCGCCTGTCCCCCCGCCCGCTTTGTGGCACTCGATATGCTCACGGTCTTTTGTTTATTGCAGAGAAACCCCATAACGAAACGTCTTTACGAAATCACACTGACATGTACAGTGGTGAGTCAACGCTGGCTTCTGGAGACCTTCACGATTTAACCCCCTGCTGCCTAACCTGACTTATCTCCCGCGCTAACCGGGCAGCGAGCGGCCGCGTTCGCAGCATCGTCTGCCCTTCGTCTGTGCCCACGCACCCCTGTGTGTGCCCGTGTCCCCGTTCGTGGGTTGTAGCCTCAACTTTGCAAAACTGGGTGTGACGAAAGAGCCAAACAGCGACAAAATCCCCTCAAAGCTTCCACAATTTGAAATTATTGAGTTTTAAGCTAATTAACTGGATATGCGGAGCTCAGCTTGAGAGGCATTTGGATTAATAGGATCTGGCCCATGTGAAAAAGTCTGTGTGGCTGAGCGAGCCCAGCTTGCTTCCTCGCCAAAGACTTGGCTTGTCCTCAGCAAAGGCTCATGATTTAAAGATAAGACCCACCATCCCTCTTCTCTCTGTCTTCAGAAAGAACATCTATTGTATTTGTGGCTAAACACAGGCAGTGACTGGGAGAAAAAAGAAGAGGGGGGGAAAAAAAGAAAAAGGAGTATTTGGTTTTCTCAAAAGCTGGGTGCTTTGCTTCTTTGTGGTGAGGTTGTACATGTGTTGGATGCTTTCACAAGGCTCTTGCCCTTTGTCTGGGCAGGGAGATTACCTCCGGAGCCCGCATTCACTGGGAGAAGCCTGTCCCAAACTCATAAATTATGCTTCAGACACAAAACCGCACGGCTCCCCGGGGCACAACCACTGCCCTGAGAATATATTGGAAGTGTCACGGACGTGACGGGATAATGTGGGCAGAGTTAGGCAGCAGCAGGGGTTTGTAGGGGAGCGGGGAGATGGGGCTGTTTGCGGGCGATGCTGAGAGCGCAGGCACTACCGGGGATGCGAATGCCTCGCCAAAGACCACCACAGAGTCTGATTGCCCCAAGGCCAGGCGCCGTCGTGGGCAGGATTTGCTTTCTGCCCCTCTTGCTGCTTACGGGGGCCGGAGTTGGGCGGCAGCAGGGTGGGGACAGCCCCAGCGGTGCCCCCGCGCTGGTCCCCAGCTGCACCCTACAGCAAAACCCCGCTCAGCTTCCCACCCGGAGCCACAGCTTGCTTTGTGCCTTGCCCAACCCAGGGCACATTTTCTTCTTCCACGGGGACTTTTGAGGACAAGGAGTGCTTTTGCCAGCTAAGAGCAGAGAGAGTTGGAGTGTGAGAAGAGGAGGATGTGCCAGGCGAGGGCACTGAGTTTGGTGTCCCCGGCAAGAGCCCTCTCGTGCCAGTGGGCAGCCCGGGCAGCCCTTCCCTGCCAAGGGAACCAGGGTGTTGGCATCTCACCGGCAGCCAGGAGTGGGAGGTTTCTGAGGGTGCTGGAGAGCTGTGGAAGGCTCAGCAGAAAAACCAGCCTCGGAGGAAGTGCTGGTGGTAGCAAATGGGCCGGGGTTAGTCTGAAAATATTTGTAGAAATGGCTGTGAAAGGGGATTGCCAGCAAAATTAGCTTCAATGGGAACTGCATAAAGTGCATCACGCCTCAACTAGAGGCAAGCGGGAGGAGGTGCCTCCCTCGCAGGCACGCAGGGCCAGGGACCAGTGGCGAGCTCTCCTGTAAATATATCTTGCACCTCAGCAGCGTATACGATGTTTGCATTTCAAAGCGAATGCCTTCACGCTGGCTGGGCACCATTTCTGTGTTTGCAGCCCTCGCCGGATCAGGAGGGAAAGTCACTGTGGTGGTCGTGCGCTTCTCGATCTCCCACTGCATGTCTTTATTCAAGGAAAAGGGACGCTTAATAGTCACTTGGTTAGGAAAATGAGCTCTTATCTGCACAGTCTCATAGATTTCTCCAGATTTCTAGTCATAGGTGCATAGGATGAACTGCCTGCTATTTGCACTATATGGGTTATTTGCACTTAATGTCTCCTGGAACATTTTATGGGTCTAGTGGATTCAAAACACCCACTCACGCCCCTGTGCAAATCTGGAGTTCCAAACCAGCAATTTCTTAACAGTTAATGAACTGGTGAAAAAATTCTTACCCTCGGCCCTTTTTTCTTTTGGCTAACCCCGTGTTTCTCCCTGGAATGACCTGTCTGGCCATAGTGGCCACTGGAACCAGCTGCAGCAAAGCAAGAGTCTTAGGGGCAGGGGAGTGGGGAAGAGGGACATCAGTCTCCCAAGTATTTTAGGTGTTCAGGAGACTTGGGGCTCTTGGACCCTGTACCTTGGGGTGCTGGTCCCTACAGTACGGGCTCAGCTCCAGAGGGAGCTGAGCTGGCAAAGGGCTCTGCAGAGCTTGCAGGGAATCTCGATGGGAAGGGCTACACGGGGACGGGCTGGGGGCGTGCGGCAAAGCAGCGGGAGGCTGCGTGTTCCCTTCCCTGCCGGTCTGCGATGGATGTGCCCCAACTCATCCCGGGGACGTGGGACCTGCTGGCGTGGATGTGGGGCACAAGCGGTTTTGTGGGACACTTGTCTCAGACTGCACTCGAGGGCCAGGCTAATCGCGGGAGATGCAACCCTTCTCCCCATGGCTCGTGGCAGGGGCAATGATTTCCTTGCTGCAAAGCTCAATTGCCTAGGCAAACTGTCTGCAGCCACGAAGGAAAAATAATCTAAAAGGATTAACTGAATATTTTATTAGCAGAAGGTTTTTCACCTTTTTTTAAAAATTGAAATTAAAGTCTTATTTGTTCTTTTTTCCTTTTTTTTTTTTTTTTTTTTTTTACTTTGGCAAACCTGTGGGATGTTTTAAAGCTGGCTAGCTGTGCAGGAGGTGAACAGACGGGATTTGTCTGGATGTGCATATTCCTATTATCGCCTCTAAGTAGAAATGCAAGCTGATGTACAATTTTTAAATGCCGTCAGGTCAGGACTGTGGGGAGGGGGCACTTGGCTGCTCCGGGGTGAGAAGTGGCTGTTTCTGGGATATCCTGTTCACAGCTGAACTGGTCCAATTTCACAGAGGCGGGGACAACAGCAGCAATATACTGGAAGCAGAGTCTATTTTTGAGTAGAAATAAATAGCCATGGGATTTATTTTTCCAGTTCTGTTCCATCCAAACAGATGAGTGAGATATTGCTATTTGTCTGACAGCTTCCAGCTGTAGCTGCCGCAAGTTCAGAGCTGGAACGGTACCTCTGCCTGAGAGAATTTCTGGCCGCTCCCATTATAAATAGCAAAATATTTATTAGTAGTGCTGTACTAAGGCAAAAAGCTTATCAGCTATGCAGTGTTGTTGGTAGGTTTATTAAACAAGTAGATAGGATACTAATTTATCTCCCTTATTTTTAATTTTCATCATTAATATATGGCTCGTAAAATTTGGCTTGCACTGCTGCTTATCTCTTCTAGTTATGCCCCGGGCTCCTGAGCAAATGGGTTCATTGTACAGCCTGTTCAAACGGGCTGCAGACTGCTGGCTAATAAAAGCCAATATTGGCTTATAAAATAATATCCCACTCTCCTAATCACATGAGAAGAGAGAAGTTCACGAGTCTGGCCAGAGGTATAGGAGCTGCTGATAAATACTGGTTTTAAACCCAGCCGCTGGCTCTGTCATCCCCCCGCAGAGCCCCGGCATGGGCTGGCTGGTTTTAACGGGGAACGAGATCCTCTCCAGAAGCAGGCAAGCAAACAGCAGCGTGTGCCTGCCCAGAGAACTGGCCCTTCAGGATAAGGTCAAGATTTGCCTGCCCTGGTAATCCATTAATCAAATAATTGACTAACCCGCCGAGGAACAGATGCGGACCGGTAACCTGTGGGTGCGCGGGAGCGGTGGGGTGCATGTGTGTGGCCACGCTCCGGCAGATGCGGAGTCGTTTCAAAGGCACGGTTTAACTCCTGGGGTTGGGTTTTTTTCCCCTCGTGAGCCTGGGTCCCAGGCTTTCCCTAAGGCAGGCTGACGGGAACTCTATGAACAGCCCCTGCCCTCTCTCCCCTCCTTCTTCCCAGCCCTTTTCCCCTACCAGAGCCCAGGTGGAGGCTTCCCAAATAGACGTGGGCATCCCCAAAAGCCTCGTGGCGCTGGGCACGCCTGGCTGCCTCCTGCTCGCTGAACGAATGAAGCTTTCGGGGCGGCAGGAGAGGGCTTGGCCTGCACCCCAAGATCCTGCTCCTGCACCGGGATGGGCTCTCCCCACGGATCGCTTCGGTATTTGTAGTGACCCTGTGCCAACCCTGGCCATTCTGCTCCCTTTCCTAATCTCATAACCTCCGTCTCTGCTACTGCTGCTTTCAAGCCCATCTCATCCTGGTTTGTCCTCACTGATCTAGATCTAGTTTAATAATTCCACTTATTAATGGAATTTATTCCATTAATAATCAATTTTTTTCCCCTACAAAGAGACCTTCACTCTGTGTATCTGTAGGGAGTTGTCTTGTGTCTTCCCCTGGTTTCTCCAGTTAAACTTTCCCGTCCAGTCCTGAAATTTGTCATTTTGGTCACTAAATTGTTCCTTTCTAGAGGGCACTGTCTTTCCAGGCCCCGCAGCTCCTAGTAAGGGTGGGAAACCTCCTTGGTGCTGCTAGAGCCCCAGACAGCGCCAGGATCCTCCGTATTTTGGAGATCTCTGTGGCAAAGCGGCTCAGTTGTCCGAGTAAACCCTTCCTCTGCCCATTTGTTCCTTTTGTCCTTCATTACATGTTCTGACCATCAGTATTTCCCAGTCTCGTCTGATTTCAGCCCATTTCTTTGTGCTAGAGGCAGGGGTGGGGAGGAAAGGTGCTGCCCTGGCGGGAGCTGATGGTGCGGGGACTTTCCTGATGCACCATCCCCGCCGCCCAGCTCCCTCTGCCCATCCTCTGCTGCTTCTTTACCTCCCTGCCTGACAAGCATCC